TCTCATCAGTATATTTTATTCATCTCAAACGTCATTTGTTACTATTAAATTTATCATGCAAGCAGCAAACAATATACCTACAATTTTCTTGGAAATAATTAAACATTTCGATAAGCGTCGTAATCGCTTTTTAAGTTAAAACTATTTTTGTCGCAATGACATAATGACAGATAAACAAAACAAAATATTACAAACATCAATCGCGTCAACAAGAATTTTTCAGATTAAATAATACAGCATTTAATAAAATAGAAGATTTTGAATTGCTGAAAAACGTTGGCAACCAATTTTTAAATAATATGTCTAATAATACATATATATATATATATATATGTATATATATATGTATATATTATATATGTAAGGTTAAGGACGTTCGTGGACTTTGTTACCCGTCACTTTTGTGATAATCAGCTCACTGTGATAAGCTTGAGAGTTGAGCTGAAGAATAACTGTTTTGTGTAGTCTACCTTTAAGCTAATAATTGATTTAATTGACAGAGGAAACAAAGCTCAAATAACGAAAATAATTGCACAAGTGCTACGGGGCGTTACATATAATAATATTGTTATTAGATAATTTATAATTCTCAAAATATTTCTGGGTTGTAAAATAAAATGTTTATCCTATTTACTCCATTATCTTTGAAGAGGTTTTATCCGGTTGTTTACCAAGCCCTTCGCTCGTTTTATGCGGTAACAAATACTTGATTGAAGCAACACCGGAAGACAAAAAAAAAAAACACTGTTAACAAACCAACTGGATGGACTGTGTTTGTTTTACAATATTATAACGTTTTCGCTAACGTCACGAGATTGGAGATAATCTGCTATGGAATGATGTATTGCTATAATTTATTTATTAGACACGCAATTACATTGATGACATGCGTCTCCGTCTGCCGACGTTCGCAATTTGCCAAATCTATTAAGTATAATAACTTGTACGTCTCGAGCATACCATGCAAAGGCCTATTGTTTCAATTAAACACAATTGACACGGCTGTTGATTAACATTTTTTTTTTTTAAAAACATTTTTTCGCTTTAAAAAAAATAAATCATCGACCAGCGCCATCCGCTGTCGTCGGCCGTCAATTTATTAATTACTTCCAATATATTACTATACACAATACATATATTTTATATATGTATATATATGTACATATTAATCATTATCGCATAATATATACATACATATGTATACTACTTCTCGTCTTCCACCATCGCGTGTGCGAGTGTGCGTGTTCGTTTTGCAAACTCTCAATGACGTCTTTTGAAGAAAAAAAATATATAATAACGCTTAATTGTGATCGTATATTTTTAATTGTTTTCCTATTCTCAGAACGTCAATAAGGCTAAATACATCGGAGTCCGTTGCGAGCTATTTGCATAAGTACTGTACAAAACTATATTGTACCGAAGTGGGGTGAAAAAAAATCTGAGATTCATTAACAGCGAACAAAATTTGAGGACATCATTAAAAATATTATGTGATAACGCGACAACAATAATATTTTAGTTTTATTCATTTGATACAGACCTATAATATAGGTAATAAAGAAACGGCTGGAATGGCGTGGAGAGAATATCATAATTTAAAATTCTAGATGGTTAATTAGATACAACAGACGAAGCTGATAAAATCACCATCTAGGAGGCTGTAGACATTGTACCTATCGGTTTAATTTTTTTTTTTTAAAACAGCCTACAGCCGTATAGGTAGTGCTGTAAAAGCTAATTCATTCAGCTCGCTGGCCAAGGCAGTTAGAAATCTAATTTATATCAGCTGCGATGAATATCAACAGGTGGTGGTTTTACATCATGTAAATATGAATATTGGTTATTAATTTTTTTAACCACGGTTACCTGAATCAGCCAAGTGGTATTGTTTTAAAAAGAGGACCCCCCCCATATTTGTTATTGGGTTCGGTATATAGGACATTTTTGGCAAAAACTTAGTTTCGAGCTAAAACTAATGTTTATATTTATTGGTACAGCGGGAAATCTTTATTGGAAATATATTTTTTATCAGGTTATCATAACAGCCTTTGTAACTTTTTTTTAATTATTTTTAAAACAACATTGCCAAAAATATTAATTCCCAAGGGTGTGCTTTGACAAACTCGATAAACAAAAAACCTACTTTTAGATATTATTTTAAAACGGCTATAACTTAGTTATAAAAAGGTACAATTTTGAAAATCCGCCAACGTGTGCAGCCCTCAGAAATATTATATCCTCCGGTGGTTTTTATTGACTACTACCCGCTCGTTTAGCCCGTGGATATTGTAGTAGACATGAATAGATCATTGGCCATTTTCAGCGTTCCAAATGATAAAAATTTGAGACGTCTATAATTATTATATTATTTAAACAATTTAGCGGTTCGGGACTTCAATCGCCAACCCTATAACTTCTGCTTCGCGTCACAGACGTGTGATCTATCAGCAACAGTGTCTCGACGATGTGCTACTGCTACTGGACGGCGTGCCTTCAACAGAAAAACGTAGTACAGTAGACGGTCATACATATCGGTTAGCGATCCTCTTGTAGGTGTGACGGGTAAAAAGCGAGGGATTTCGCCTGTTCTCGGCCGCGAAAATTATTTTCCCGCACTCTAAATTGATGGCGATACACTTGTTTAGAGCTTATCCGGCCGCGATAGCGTTCAAGTTCTACACGCCTACGCTTCCGGGCCATCAATTCATGTTCAAACTGATTTGATAGCCAGTAAACCCTAAGAAGAGTCCCCTTGTTTATAATTTACGATACGGCATAGTGGATACCACCCGTACCTACCGTATCCACTGTACTAATAATAATAATGTATAGCAGTCATTTGCTTTGCAAACTGAAAATCCCGTTTACAGCCAGTGTCTACGACAAAGACCACCCCGCCTGTTGTTAGTTTTAGGTAATAAAAACCGAGCGTAGGAGAGATTACAGCAAAATATAATATTATAAATTTGTATAATAAATCATTTTAGCGCCAATTCGGACGGCTCTATCGCACCGTGCCGACAATAATAACGTTATTATTATTACAACGACAATGGCAATTGAATTGAGAAACTTTGCCAAATCTTCTTACCGAATTCTGAAAACCTGTGTAGAGTAATAATAATAATATTATAATTATAGTTGAAAAACGAATTGTTTTTGTTTACAAGTATTTGTCTTGAAATGATAAAATCAAAAAGTTGTTCTACTTTCAATACAGTTAATTCGAAAACGACGGGTTTAAGTGCAAAGCCAAATTCGATCGTCGAACCAATATTGTATCGTTTAGTTTGCAGTATCAATTTAAATAAAACGTGATCTTCAAAATCAAACTTCTGTTATATTTTCAAAATTGCATTAACTTCCGAGATCTACTTGATGATAAACGCCACTGAATACAGGACAAAGACACTATTGGTTGAGACATGAACTGCTCGTTTCCTCTTAAGTACTTTGGAAAAATAAAACAATGTCATAACTAACGCTGATTGCGGACGTTATTGATTTTCTCCACATTAACATGATAGTTAATTATTAGAGTGCAAGGCTAGCATTTAAAAACTAAACTAATTCTATAATGTATTACAAGCTTGTCTGAGCTCTACGGATATTTTTTTCGTCATCAACAATGATAGTTGTAAGTAAACGCGAGCAAACGGTTTTGTGTTTACTACGGTATGTATCTCTTAGTTTTCGTCTGACCATTGCACAGCTGTTTATATTTACACAACAGTACCCATAAACAATGTGTTACGCAATTCAATTTATGAATTATATTTTAAAGTAAATAAATAATAATAATATTATATTGTACCGCGAAAAACACATATTATGTAAGTCAAATCTCTGTTTTACCAAAAAAATAATGTTTGTCGCAGCTGTGAACTATAACTAATAAATACATAGGTTATACAGTTTTATTTTGTAAAACTTCATTCACTCTTTCTAAAATATTTAATATCATTCACCGGTCACAACAAAGTGCGGTGGTATACAAATTTATTCGAATTGTAGGTTGTGATTAAACAATTTGAACCGTCGGTGAATAATTTTCTATGGTTCGCCAAAAAAACAATCACAGACATTCTGATGCATACAGAACAGTGTTTAATCGCCTAAGGTTTATTCGATCGGGAATCGATTATTTATACTCAAGATAAAATATATTCTCCTGTAATAAGACCGTTTGAGTACACTCGTCCATATTTTTTTTGGTGACCTATACATAAAATATGAGCTGAGAACAAGCTATACAACATCAATGTTGATACATGTTTAAACCGTTTTCCAATTATTATTGTTAGTGGCGCTTGATGCGCTTATGGTCTAAAGCTGTTTTTACTAGGATAAGCTCTACTCCAATCATGTCAATAATTTATACTACGGCTAAAAATATACCTGGTAATACTCTAGTTTCAACGCGAAGTAGTTTGTTTTTTTTTCTTATGGTACGTTTTTTGTAATGAATCGTTCTTACTATGCTAGGACTTAAGAAATAATAGACTAACCTGAAACAGAAAAAAAACGTTATCTATTAATGCGGTCTGAAAATAATGCTAAATTTTCATAGAAACATCAACTGAGATTCATGTTATTGCGTAAGTGGGTGATTTCGTTTCAGTTGTAATACCAACAGAGAATACACAGAACTAATTAACATTTTTATTTCAGTCACTTCCATATTCTTACTCATTCAATGTCCAACACAATTTTTATACAATTTTTCCTTGTGTCTTCCACCATAACATCTTCTTCAAATCACCAGCCGATCTTGATCCCAAATTCTAAAACTCGTCTACTCTAATCGCCACTTACTCTCCACCACGTGATACTTCTTACTAAAAATCTCCTCATGGCTAAACTTAAACTGTTATCTAAAGGTGGGTTTAGGAAATTTTTTTTTTTTTTTTTGAGGGTGGACTAGCCTCGCTGTCAGCTGTGTATATCATAACCACCCCGGTCGGCGGCATTGCTCTTGCACTACCGCACCGATGTCTTACCTTTGGTTTGAGCTTGGACAACCTGTACGCCGCGTCTTCGTCGCCACTCAAAGTGCTGCAGGTGCTACATCCGGATATCTTGCGCTCCGGCGTGTGCAGCGAGTAGTCGGCATCCAAAACGCTGATGACGCTTCCGGCCGCGCTCCACGTGCTGGCCGCGCTGCAGTCCGACGACGAGTCGTTGAACCCGCAATCGGACCTGGGCTCGTACTCGTCTAGGTCGTCTAAGGTGAACATTGAGGAGAACGACACCGGATCTTCGGAATGGTCGCTGACCACCACGGACGGCGTGCGGAACTGCCGGGCGCCAGGGATGTCCGACTCGCCCGCGTTGCTGCTGAACGACCGGAACAGCGCGGGGTGCTTGAACTCCTGCCGGTGCATCTCGTATCCCTGGTCCAGACTGTGACCCTTCCGGCACGGCCCGATGCCGCCGGCACCGCCGGTCCCACTCTGACCCACGGGCCCCGTCCAAGACTTGCGCCTTTTCCGCTTGGTCTTGGTCTTGCTCACTTCCAGACGGCTGACCACCAAGTTCTTGCTGATCGCCCGCACCTTACTCGTCTCTTCCAAAAAGGTCATTTTGTCCTCGTCGTCGCTGCCTGTGAACACACAACGATACATTTGATGTTGACTTTTCATACTCATGAATTACATAATTTTACATGAATTGAAATGTTAACTTGAAAATGTTTGCACGTATCCATGCTAAGTTAATGTTAAAAAAAATGGTAAGAGATCACGGTAGTTGGTTTTAGAGGTAGAGCGAACGAGAATGGCTGGATGCAATAGTATTAAATACTATATAGATTCGTGAAGTTAATAAAAAAAACGGCGAATTTGTGCAGAGAGCGGATTTGGCTGTCGACCCCTATTGTATGGGATAAGGCGAAGATAAATACATATATATAAAGTTGTAAAATATAACTCTGGGTCAAGTGTGGATCAACTACCATTATTCTAGTATGCACAGCATTCAGTTCAATAATACATTAATTACACAACGATCTGAGGTGCCCCAGAGGTATTGAATTTTATTTTTACCCTTTCGGATTAGTAGTTACTTCAAAGTTTAGAATTTATGCGGATTTTATTTGTGCTGAAGTCAATAGCCTCGTTAAAAAACGCTTTATTCCTATATGGGTGTGTTTTTCAATCCACCCTATTATATCTCCAGTGTAGTATTGACTGATATTGACCGCGGTTTTTATCATTTTCCATTTTGGGCCTAGACTCGATTACATAGGACACATAATATTAAATCATACGCCATTCGTTAAAGTATGACATTTAATAATTATAGTTGGAAAAAATATCAATAACACGTGTTTACAACTTATTCTAGGCACAACCCGTTTTGTCGTTACTATTTTATAACTCATCAATTATGACTATTATTTTTATCTAGTGCATATTTTTTTATTATATGACGTAAGTATTGTTTTTTTTAAATAAATAATATTCCCAGTTTAATACACCATACTGAATGTGTTTCGACGAGTGTGCACATTTAACGGTGCTCGCGATTATCCCTTTCAGCGTCATATAACATAATACCAGTTCCCGGCAATAAAAAAAAACACCAATTAAAATGGTCGGAATACAATTAATTAATTACATAAAAACATATTAATATAAAATACTTAACGCGGCGCAAATGTAAGCATGTTTAATGCGTTTCCGAGTGTTGGATACAAAATCGTCGTGTGGAAATAATGAAACGTGGTCGAAGCGTAAAATGCTAAACATTGTTGTCTTGCGAATAGGTTATCATGAACGTGCTGGCAAACTGAAATCCGAATGAGTGCAGTTCTCTATATTATAATTTTAAAAAAAGTACCTTCTCAGCTGCGCATCGAGGCTAAAATAATGGTTATATATGCCTACTCGTGCAGTAGACATGTAAAAGGTTAGAAGTTTTGGGATTCCAAAAATAGTTCACATTGTAGGTTTGGGGAATCGTCTACGGGTTTTTAAAGGAATCTACAGCGGTTATATTTTCTACCAACGGTTACAATATAATAACAATACATTTATTTCAAATATATATATAAACCTGGCCCAAACGTTATAACTTTTTGAACAGTGGACGTGTGGTGCGGTGTGTGTACAGTGTATGTATGGGATACTCGTCCAGTACAATAAAAAAGCCACTGGGTCTTCGCAAAACATTTTCGCAGAGAAATACATACTTCAATAAATATAAATGACTTTTGTCGAATGAAACCGAAGAATAGTATACGAGAACAAAAAGAAATTATTTATAGTTGGCTATTTTTTGCAACTATCGAGCGTGTAAAAAATAAAAATACAATCATAGTAGATTACATTGTAAGAATAGAAGTCCGTAGCTGTAACGGCTGGTTAGACTAATCATTTATAATAATATATAACGTTCATGTGATACGAACAGCGAAAATTGTCGTATACAAAATAATTGAAAACACTGTCGCGTTCGCGTTATTTAACAACTATTTAATTGACCGTGTGCGTTAACACTTTCATACTACAATAATAATAATAATATGTATATTATGTCGGTGCAGTAGCGGATTCAGCAATAACAGCGAGATCAAAAGACAAAACTATGTAATATCAACAAAATAAATATTACAGTTGTTTCTTAACAATCAAACGGGTCACGTTTTCATAGTATATATTAGAAATTCTATTTGATTTAGTTTTCGAAAGTTATATTAAAACATTCATCGATTGTAAAAGGTAAAATATTTTTTTCAGATTTTTGTTTTAAAAATGTAATTACCCGTTGCATTTAATAAAATAACTGTATTTGGTTTCTTAAATACTATTCATATACAACCACGGTCTTAGGGTCAACGTAATATGCATTAACTAATATTATTAAGTATTAACTATGTATTTTATTAGTTAAATATATTTTTACATGTGTACTTGTGCTTATTTATTCCTTCTGCAGTAAATAGATACTATATACATATCATTAACATTATAAAAATAATTTTTAGATCAACAATGTTTAATTTTTAACGATTATTCTACTTGTTTAGTCCTAAAATATTCCATTCGTTAAGTACTGAATTGGGCACAATTTTAAAACAGGGTTCACATAATAATAATAATGTGGTTTTTTATTATTTTCAATTAAAAAATGTTTTTTGTTATTTAACTATAACAATAATTACACTTGCATGTCAGTCAATTCCATATTTAACCCATTCTCAGTTTTTATGCTTTTCACCCTTTTTTTGTAAAAACAGGTTTCAGACCTTATCTTTTACTAATAAGCAAAAAGTCAAAATATTGAATTATTTAAATAACGCGTTGAGTCGTGTTCGCCCTGTTTTCGGCGGTTTTAAAGAAGAAAACATATTTTATATTCATATATGAAACATGCTGAGAAAATTGCCAAAATATTTTTCTGGGTAACCGAGTGTTGGTTTACAACAGAAGGTTGGAAAAAGTTATTTTTTATACAAACTGCTATAAAACATATAGCAGGATTTGAGTGTTCCGTGGAGACTTGTAAAATGTAATTGGCCGAGATGTAAGGTATTCCGTCAAAACACTACCGACTTACATACTGTAACCCCAGGTTCAAGCCAGAAGAAAATCCACGACGTCCCACGCGTACTCGAACAGCAAATTTCTTTTTACCCTAACAAAGCGATGTGTTTCATCTAAAGTAGAACGCGCTGTTATTATTTGTATATTTTCACAAAGTAATGGTTTTTCATTGTACCGTCAGGAACAGGTTTTTTATAGACCACTGCCAACAATTTTTTACGCTCATTAGGTCCTACCGCGAGTGTTGACATTCGAGTAGTGATTTACATAATATTCGATTGAAAAAAATGTATTAAAAACTAGTCGCATCATTGAAACTAACTAACTACTAGTTTTCTGCTTTTCAACAAATTGATTGCACCGTGAGAAAAACCCGACAGAGTGATTTATTGGTGCGGTTCAAGTGCCTTTGCCCTGTATACAAAGATTATCTACATTGCGCAACTCTGCTGGCCTAACCGTTAATTAGGTACATCTACTAGGAATAAAGTTACCTACAAATAGGCGATGACCATAAATGGTTTTTGACGGATCATCATACTACTAAAAATTGTATGAATAAAAAAAAATATTATATATAAACATATTATGCATGAATATAATATGGACCAGATCCAAAACAAGACGCTTACATAAGGAAATTTTTGCAAATTTTACAAGAAAGACGGAAAATCGCTAGATAGAAGTTATGTAATTTTTGCCAGTACAAAGAAAACGTGCAGGTTGAAAATTTGAATTACAAAGTCGTTGGAACTCGAGAAAAAAAAATGATGGGTACCTATATTTTTTTGCAGTTATACATCTATGTAATATTTATGTAAATCAACTAGGTTCTCTTTTAATGTAAACCTATACAAAATATTGTGTATTTAATTTATTTGTTTTCTTGTATGTTTTTGATAGGTCTAATTTTGTAATTGGCCAAATCATTGATTGAAAAATTAATCAAACCGTACATCTTCTTAGAAATAAGATTAAATTTAATTTATCAATTTAAAATTAATTAATTTAGTTACTAATTAAAATTCTATCGTACACGAATTCGACTTGCCAATTAATCGTGATCGTATTTTGAAATTGCACAACATGTAAGTTAAAATTAGTGTAACAAATTAGTTTTTAATTGTAACCGAATCGCAGTCACGCTTGAATATTTAATTGGTCAATAAATATTATAAATTATATTACATTTGATTAAGAACATAATCATTAACCATCAAAAGTGCAACCAATCCAAAAGGCTTTCAAATAAATTTATTTCGAAGGTTAAATAATGTTTTCAATCATAATCGGCGTTTTAATTGGCAATAAATTCGCCCAATTCTGAACCAAAACTGTATAAGTCTTAATTCTTACTAAATATTACTCATGTGATAACCGTTTATTTGTATAATGATATTTTGACATTTTTGTTTTTATTTTACATATTACAAAATATTGTACGTTACATGTAAAGTATGACGTATTTAATCGAAGGATATTCGATAATTGCAAACAGCTATTTGTCGAAACAAAAAGAAAAGTAAATATAAAGTTAATGTCAAGTTTATGAAAATTCAAACCTGTTTTCATAGTCTTTATCGCATCACACAGCGAACCACAACACGTCTGAGAGCGATTGAAGTATAGTCTAAATAAAAACTCTTTAAATGGATCGTATGCACTCATCTTTTTACAATTAAAACACTTTTTACAGAATATATTTTTCAACAGTATTTTAGCAACGACTGGAAAGACAGCAGCAAGTAGCAACCTAAACTCGATTCGGTTACTAAATGCAATTTTTGTACATCTCGCGTTTTCGAAATCTACCATTTGTTCCAAAGTAATAAATCAAATATATTGTTAAATAAACAATTGTTGTAAGTATAAACAAATATAATCGATAAACCAGTATCTCGGCCATGACGTCTGCATTCTAATTGGATTTTCAGAGTGCGAAAAGCGATAAAAAACTTTATACTGTAAAAACAAAAAACAAAAATATTGAGTTTTATGGTATGATAAATTATTATTTGTCTTATTTGCGTTGAACAGTGCTTTTTTTTTTTACAAA